CAATACTTGATTTATCAGTGGCTCTCACAGATGAATTAGGTGTTATAAATACATGCACAGGAGTACTAACACCTTACAAAATATTGTTTGGTGATATTTTCATTTATCTTTCTATGAAAATAATGAATATACTATTTTGTTATCTTATTAATCTAAATACCCTAGTCAAATGCTTAATACAGTAATTATATTGCTTGCTTTTGAAAAATAATGTTTCCATTTACATTAATGCATTAATGCAGGCACTTCACCAATGAAAAATGCAAACTGTACTTTACACAATAAATTCCAATTATTTTGAAGTATTGAGAACTAAGGCAAGACTTGATTTTCCAAATCATAAAAGTATTGTAAGCTTAAAGTAATTAAAGCATTCCGGCATAGAAGTAAGCCCGGGTGTTCAGAAGCACACCTTGTGAACATGCAGATTCAGTGTATGATATATGACTTCTCATTGGACTATTTCTCTGAAATGAATAAATGCAGATTTAACCCAGATTTTCTGTCTCCCTCAATATGTACAAAATTCAAGCCCTAATGTGCCTTTTCCTGGCGTTTGCCTATGCAGTAACAGCTATTTATATTACCATCCAGCCACAAAAATCAGGAAGTTCATGCTGTCACAAAATATGTAATTCAAAGCAGTGATCCTTTCTCAATTAGAAATAACAGGAGGTTTGGAACAGATGAAGTATACTGGGAAAAAAAGTAGGGAACTACTAATTCAGAGGAGAGAAAAGGGCCAGTGTAGACAGGTGTCAGAGACAGGTATTTGTGCTTCATTTTTTCTTCTGCTTGAGCCTTTGGCTTTGACATTGCCATATTTTTAATATTTTGTTAGTATTACCCACAGGTCTTAATGGAGATGTCTTTTTTTTTTTAAATATATAAACAAAATCATGAATTCATTAGTAAAGCAAGTACATAGTTCTTATTGTAAATCATTAATTTTTTAAAAAGTATGTAATCGATACAGGGCCTGACTACACAGCTTGGACTCATAGTGATCCTCCAGTTTCAGCCTGCCCAGCTCTGGGATTACAGGTTGTGCCACCATGCCCAGTCTTGGGCAGGGCAGGGCTGGCATGGCATGTGGTGCTGGGGATTGAGCCCGAGTCCTTGTGCTTGCCGAGACAGGCACTTAGACCACTGAGCTATATCCATGTCCCTACTTACTTTTTAAGAATTATCTTCATGGAGAAGTTTTTCAGATCCAGAAAATGATTTAAGAATTTCTAAATCTTTTATTTTCAGCAACCCTAATTTATGGAATGATTCCCATGCACCCTGTGGAACAGAATTTGCTTATAATTTCTTCTGCATCATATACAAACCTATGTAGGAGGCAGTGAATGTTTCATATTCACAAATAAATGATCCTTAGTAATGTAAGAATGTGTGCGGTATTGTTATTGAATTTTTTTTTTTTTTTTTTTTTTTTTTTTTGCGGAACCATGGATTGAACTCAGGCCCGTGTGCTTGCCAGGCAAGCGCTTATTCCACCGAGCCATCTCCCCAGCAGTGTTATTGAATTATGAA